GGCTAAGACAACAGCACTTTCACTATCACAGAAAATTTCCATTGGCTCCTTAATAGCTGGTACAACTCCAAGGTCTTCAATGAAGTTCTTCAGCCATATCGCCTCCTTTGCTGCCTCATTAGCTGCTATATACTCTGATTCGCAAGTTGAATCAGCCACTGTCTCTTGCTTGGAACTCTTCTAAGAAATTGCTCCTCCGTTTAGGGTAAAGACCCAGCCTGACTGAGATCGGAAATTATCCCTATCAGTTTGAAAGCTAGCATCACTATACCCTACAACTCTCAAGTCTTCACTTCCACCGAGGGTAAGAACCCAATCCTTAGTCCTCCCTAGGTACTTGAGGATATTCTTTACCGCAGTCTAGTGTGCCTTTCCAGGGTTCCCCTAATACCTGCTAACCATGCTCAAGGCAAAGGCTACATCAGGTCGAGTACACGTCATAGCATACATGATCGATCCTACAGCCGAAGCATAAGGTATTCAATTAATTTCTGCTATCTCAGCCTCAGTACTAGGGCTTTGTGTCTTATTCAATCGGGCGTTACTCTAGATGGGTAACTCTCCTTTCTTGCAGTCCTGCCTGCTAAATCTCTTCTGCACCTTATCCAAGTAGGTACTATGACTAAGTCCAATTAGTCTTTTACTCCGGTATCTCAAGATCCTTATCCCTAGAATATAGGCAGCTTCTCCTAGGTCCTTCATATAGAAACACTTCCCAAGCCAGGACTTAACTTCCTGCAGATTTGGGATGGCATTTCCTATGAGTAGTATGTCATCCACATACAATACCAAAAAGCTAACTATACTCCCACTAGCTTTGACATATACACAAGATTCATCTTCACTCCTAGAAAAGCCAAACTCTTTGACTTTCTCATTAAAGCAAAGATTCCATCTATGAGGTGCTTGCTTTAACCCATAAATGGATTTCTCAAGCTTACACACTCTATTAGGGTACTTTGTATTGACAAAACCCTCTGGCTGACTCGTGTAAACATCCTCATCCAACTTTCCATTAAGGAAAGTCGTTTTGACATCCATTTTCCATACTTCGTAGTCATGAAATGCAGCTATGTCTAACAGAACCCTAATAGACTTAATCTTGGCCACTAGAGAAAAGGTCTCATCATAATCAACTCCCGGAGTTTGTGAGAACCCCTTTGAAACCAGTCGTACCTTATAAGTGTGTACATTACCATCCATGTCGCTCTTCTTCTTGAAGATCCACTTTCACCCTACAGTCTTACAACCTGGTACATTCTCAACCAAGTTCTAAACTTGATTGTACTGTATCTCACTGTCTATTACCTCTCTCCATTTTCCTGACTCAGGGCCTGCCATGGCTTCCGCGTAACTGTTAGGTTCATCCAGACCTATCAGTGTCTCATCACTGATAAGTGTATCACCTTCCGCAGTAATATGGAATCCATAGTAATGCTCAGGTGCATTCCTAACCCTTGTGGAATGCCTCAAAGGTAAAGACTTGTCAATTGGCTCAACAGGAGTTTCCTCCTCAAGTTGAGTGCTAGGGTTTGAAGTTCCTTCACCACTTGACTCTTTAATTTCTTCAAGGTCAACTTGCCTCCTACTGTTTCCTTGGCTTATGAACTCTCTCTCTCTCTCTCTCTCTCTCAAGAATGCCTTCCTATCTACAAAGACCACATTTTCACTTGGTCTGTAGAAGAGGTAACCACAGGATTGCTATGGGTAGCCAATGAAAATACACCTCTCGCTTCAAGGTTCGAGCTTATCATGAGTCTCGCTTCTCACGAAAGCCTTGCAACCCCAAATCTTGATGTGATCTAGTTTGGGTACTTTACCAGTCCACATCTCATGAGGAGTTTTGGCAACTTTCTTTCTAGGTACCAGATTAAGGATATGGGCGGCAGTCTCTAAGGCATACCCCCAAAATGATGTTGGTAGAGAAGCTCGACTCATCATGGAATGAAACATGTCTAACAGGGTTCGATTACACCTCTCAGCCACACCATTCAACTGCAGTGTCTTGGGAGGTGTCAATTGTGAGACAATCCCACATTCCCTAAGATAGTCGAGGAACTCTGAACTAAGATACTCACCACCTCGATCGGATCGAAGCATCTTAATGTCCCTGCCCAATTGATTCTCGACTTCCTGTTTAAACTCTTTAAACCTTTCGAAAGTCTCCGACTTATGCTTGATTAAGTAGACATATCCATATCTACTGTAATCATCAGTAAAAGTCAAATAATAACGATTAGCATCCCTTGTGGCATGTTTGAAGGGCCCACACACATCCGGGTGTACAACATCCAACAAACCTTCACCCCTCTCATAAGAACCTGTGAAGGGTGACTTTGTCATTTTTCAAGTAAGCATGATTCGCAACTATCATCTGACCTTAGGTCAAATGACTCCAAGACTCCATCCTTTTGGAGTTGGCCTATGCGTTTCTTGCTTATATGTTCAAGACGACAATGCCATAATGACGTTTTATCCAAGTTATTATCATTAACAAAATCAATACACAATACATTATTTCCTAAGTTATCAACCAGAGATAGAGTTTCATACACACCATCACAAGGTAATGCTTTAAAATAAAGAACATTATTAAAGAAAGTATTAATCGAACCAACTTCATTATCAAATGAAAAGGTAAAACCTTGTTTATACAATGCATGAAAGGAAATAATGTTTCTTGCCATTTCTGGCGAATAACAACATTTATTCAAATCTAAACTAAACCGACTATATAGCGATAAAGTATAAACTCCAATCTTGGTGACAAGTAGAGCTTTCCTATTCCCCATGATTAAGTTTATTCTTCCTTGCTCCACATTCTCACTTCTTCTTAGTCCCTATAAATTAGAACATATATGAATACCACAACCGGTATCAAGGACCCAAGAGTTAGAATGGGGTGAGTTATTAGATAAGATAGTGTAAATACCTGCATGGTAGGGTTTAACTTTCCCATCCTTCACATCTAGCTGGTACTTTGGGCAGTTCTGCTTCCAATGTGATTTTTCATGGCAATAGAAGCATTCAGCCTCTTTTGGGTCAGAAGAAGGAGTGATGAAACCTTTCTTGGTTCCACTTTAAGAAGAGCTATCAAGGGTCCTAGCCTTGGTACCCTTTGAAGAGATTTTGCTTTTCTTCCCTCGACTATTCCCGATTGCCAAAACCGGGGCGGAGTTTAGAGTAGGAGTTTTAACAACCAACTTCCCTTTAAGACCTGTTTCTACGGTCTTGAGAAGTCCCTGAAGTTTGCTGAGTGTGACCTCTTCCTTATTCATGTGATATGTCATGCGGAATTGATCATATCACGATGGTAAGGAATGCAAAATGATATCTATTGCAAGCTCCTCAGGGAAGTTCACTTTAAACTTCAGCAACTGATCCACATATCTTTGCATTTTCTGCATGTGGCTTGTGATGGACTCTCCGTCCTTTTTCATGGTTGTTATCATGGAGCAGATGATTTCATACCTCTTTTGTCAGGCACTTTGATGGTATCTTTCCATCAAGTCTTTGTGCATTTCAAAAGGGTAGTAGTCATCGTAGGACTTTTGGAGATCGGCTGTCATAGCGGCCATCAGGATGCATGCCACCTTGGTGGCATCCGTTTCATGTTCCCTAAAGTCAGCGATCTCTTGAGGAGTAGCAACTGTCTCATCAATCTCCTTAAGGTCCTTATCAAGGACATAGTCTTTGTCCTCGTAGTGGATAATCATCCTGATGTTTTTGATCCATTCATTCAAGTTGGATCCATCAAAAGTGATTTTCCCATATAAGTTCATAAGGGTAAAGGAGCCATTAGGATTAGAGCCAGAAGCAGCGTTGTTTAAAGACATATAGAAGAAGAGAACAAGATTAGTTTAGATATTAAGAGAGTCCTTAATAAAACACCCAAATGTAATATTAAGGCTAGGATCCAATCACAACATATTATAACTTAGAAGAGGTATGCCATAATCCAAGGTATAACATATTTGAAAGGTAGGTGAATGACGATTCACCAATTTCCACCATGAAAAACGAAATATAATTATTAGGTTTTTAATTGGTTATTAGAAATTCCTAGCACTACTAGAAAAATAGCCTTTTACGATGCTCATTGCGCATCGTAAAAGGCTCAGACGACGCGCAAATGCGTGTCAAGGAAGGCCATGTCATAAAGAGAGATGACATGCTTTTGCGTGTCGTCTATAGACGACGTGCATTTACGACGCTCATTTACGACGTGCAATTACGACGCGCGTTTACGACATGCAATGCGTATCAAGGAAGGCCCTATCATAAAGGAAGACGACATGCATTCACACGTCGTAACCTTACGACGCGCGTGTTAATGACACGCAATGCGTATCAAGAAAGCCCCTGTCAAGAAAGGCCATATCGTAAATGAAGATGACACACATTTTTGCGTATCATAGTTTTAAATGTTTAAAAAAAATTATTTATAGATTTACTAATTTTCAATTTAAATTTGTATTTAATGTGTCATAATATAAATATCATATACAAAAAATACAATCCATTACATAAAATTTAATGTCATACAAATAAAATAACATAAATATCAAAGATAATTCAATTCACTAATATGTCTATTCCAATAGTGAGTAAATGTTATAAAAAAAATGAACTCAAGAGAAGCATAATTTATATACAATTGCATTATCTAGCTTACTATCTGCCAACAACTCTCAGTGTGTTTGCTTTTTTCTTGTGTCTCGTTTCCTCCAAAACTTCTAGATACAGTGGCTTGCTTCTTCCTCATTACTGTAAAGTACCTATGGCCACAACTTTGCAAGCTTGACCAAAGAACTTTGTATGCCAACTGTTGTCATGCGTTAATATTTAATAACTAATACTATGCATATAAACATTAAAAAACTAATTAATTAAAACTCTCTATTTATTCACAGGTATGAATTACATTACCAGATGATTACATTTGGAAAGGGCATTTATGTCTTTTCCTCCACACTCAAAGTTTTAATTATAATTTTTAACTACAGTGTAAGGCTAGGGTTACCAGCACAAGAGGGGAGTGTAGTCAAGAAGAACATGTCCCCACTCATGTTCCATGCAATCTCATTTACCTGCCAAAAACAAGATTAATTAGTATTTCAACAAATCTAATAATAATCTATTCAACTTCACTGCATTTCAATTTCAAACCCACAAATAAGAGTATACTTGCCTCATAGTTGAATTTGTGTTTATGGATGGATTTGAATTTTCGAACATCCAGTATTTTTAGTTCATCATCCTATTTAACATATATATAATAAAGTAGAATTAACATAAGCTTCCTAAATGTTGTTAAAGGAAATTTTGGTAAATGAAAAAAAAAGGAAAGGAGAATGTACCCGGTTCCCAACTGCTACATGAGTCCCATCTTGTTTATAGGTAATGTTAATGTTCTCCCCACTGAGTTCTGCTTGATGTGAACATTTTTCACCTGTTTATTCGCATATAGATCAATAAAGATTATTTTTTTAAATAAAAATTATTTTGTATTTCAACTTACTGCAGACATCCCATAGACAAACATTCTTGTCACCTGAAGCAGTGGCAATCAAGTCGGCATGTTTAGGATCCCAACATAACTGATCTACACTATTTGTATGCCAATTTAGTTCAAGATCCTTAACCTTGCTCTGCAACACAATAGAGTATATAAACAATACTAATTGGGTGTTTGAATAGAGTAACAAGACTCCTGAGACGAAACGAAGAAGAAAACTTACATGGCCATGGGGCTCAATATGCCATACCCAAGCTATTTGATCCACAGATCCAGGTGCAAGCTTTGTGCCAATGTAATTCCAAGCGACTGAATGTACTTAATACACATAGAAATTATAAAAACTCACCTTTCGAAACAATTCTTTCATACCACCCCCTGCTGCACTTGGGTAATATATCATTATGCTGTGATCATCACCTTTAAACAAGGAAAAACAGAAAATAAATAAATAAATTCAAATTCCAACCATACTTAGTTATGGATAATAAACGCACATTACTAGCAAACAGGGAAAGTTGGAGAAGGTGTATGAAAAGGATTGTTAGATATGCATACCATAAACAGGCTTCTCTACAAAAGGCTTCCAAAATCACTACCCATGAACCTCAACAAAATACTCCAAATCTTGATATGGTTTGTCCCTATTTACTAATGCATACCTTGGAACTGGAATTCCATACATTTCCAGGAACTTGATGATGTTTAAAATGAAAACAAAGAGAGAGAGAGAGAGAGAGAGAGAGAGAGAGAGAGAGAATCACTATACCTTATGAAGAATATGAAATGCTCTTGATTCGTCTCCAGAAGTTCACAATCAGTGGAGCTAAACACCAAGAGGATGTGAAAGCAGTCACACTGGATTTCGCAATTCTGAAGAGGGTTCGCGATGATTTAGTGTTTGTAATGATGGATAGTGTTCATCCAGCTGTCATCAACTCCTGGATATTTTCCTAATTCAGTATCCTTCAAAAAAAATTTAAACAAGATGTTGAATTAGAAAAAAAATAAATAAATAAGATGTTCAATTAAAGCTGTCAAAAATTGAACAAATGCAAAATTAGTAGGTTGATTTGTGATTTTCAACAACTTTAAAGAATAGTTTAATTGAACAGGTTTAATACGTTTTAAAGTTTTTGACCTGAAATCAAAAAACCAAAAACCAAAAAACAAAAAATAAAAAATAAAAAAGTAATAGTACTAATGATGATACTTTTAATAACAAAAGGGGATCAAAACCAAATGCATTTTGTGAAAATTTCGGTTATGCAAATGGTGGACCTGTTAATAAGCTATGGAAGGTAAACAATGGATTTTTTTGTAAAAAATTGAAAATGACTTTTCAGGTAAATGACACAAAAAGAAATGTTTTTTTTTCTTTTTTTTTTTGTAAATGAGGTTTTTATTTAATATTTAATTTAACAAGTACAGTACATTGCTAACATGGGGTAAATAATGGTGTAATAAAGATTTGAAATTTAAATATGAACATATCGGCCATCGACTATCTTTGTCAAGCTTGGAAGCTCCTTCTTTGGTTGATGTGGAACATCAACAATGTGGATTGATCAAAGTGGAAAAATTACTCTTCTCCTACATCTCTAAGGATATGCATGAGCTGATTTCTGATGCTAAGACTGAGAGCATAATTAAAGATGCTTGATGCATGTGATGATGATATGACAAGAACAATCACCAGAGCAACTGTTCCAGCAACTAGGTTATTAAAAAAAGTAGAATATAATGAGAGGTTATTAAAAATTTTAAAAATTAAAATAAAGATATTAATGGAGTGGAATGGTGGATACCTCTGTGTTTTTTAAAGAGGCGAGGGTTATACAAGCTCTAAAAAGCAAGAAATCTCTAGCCAATACTGCAAGCTGCATCATCATTATAGTCAAAATTTCAATGTTCATATTTACCAATTTGCCCTTGTTTATTTTTTTCTGAAAAAAGATATAACACCTTATTTCCTATCACAAATTTAAGACATCCAATCCCACGTGTTGTATCAGCATCATCCAATACATCATCATGAAGGAGACTAGCAACGTGAGATTAAAAAAAATATATTATCTTTCTAATAAAATACAATTGTAAAAAGAAATATTAAAACTAATATTCAAAAAAACCTAACATGAATCATCTCTGTGATTTCAGCAATCGATTATTGTCTCAACCTCAATGTTGTTGAGAACATATCCACAACCCCTTCTGATGCTGGTTTAGAAATTTGAACATTTAAAGCTGTTGCCATTAATAAAATAACATGAATTTTTTTTCAATATTTTACAACAACAACATGATAATATGATATCAATAATCAAAGAAATAAAAATGAACTTAAAGTCGGTCGAAACCTCTTCCCTTTAACTCCCATTTTAAAGAAGTACTCAGCTGCTGAAACAAGCTTTGGCACTTGTTAATTCGGTTAATTACAAATATACCCTTGATAAATAATGTTGAAAGAAAGTAGTTTTCGAAGACATACCTCAGCAACCACCATTGATCGCAGCCTATTAGCTACAATTTCAATCACCTCTCTGAACGGCTAATAAAAGGCCTCAAAGAGTAAACTCTTTGTCTATGCACATAAGTTATTTGATAAAATGCCTCAAAGAGTAAACTTACTTCCTCCTTTTTCCATGTTTTGCTAATATTTCGAAAATATAGTGTATGATTGTCCTAGATTTCTGATATCCTTACACACTTGCCCCTCACCTAGGCATAGAAAAAAAAAATATTAGAATCTGACTTGTTGAGTTAACCTCCTGTCAATTCCCAAAATCACATAAGCATAACTCATAACTCAGGTCCCACAGTTAGTTCTTGTTGGTTGTCATCTGCTTGAGTCCCAAAGTTCTGTATACTCAATTGTGGGGCCAACAACAAGAAGAAAAGGTAAGATATAATGTTTATTGTGTTTATAAAAGCCACACACAAAGATAGATAAAATTCATAATGTCATCAACATATACATTTGTAAAGCGGTTGAGAAATGATTTAGGAAGGCCTTTCATAGACTTATTTGTGGCTGACAAGTTCTGTTGTCACAGTAGATGATGTTGACATTACATTCTTTCCAGAAACTTCGAAAGCATCATAAATTTTGCCTATACATAAACATTTATATCAAATTAGTTGATAGCTTTTAAATTTAAAAGTTGTAGTTTTTAGTTTTTGTCAAATTGAGAATAATGTAAGAGAGAACTTACTAAATCCATCCAGGGTCGCGAGTGCAATTTCCGCAGGCAAAAACTTGAAGAACTTCTTGCCAAGTTTAGGGCTAGCAACAGAGCTTCTAAAGAATCCAGTAATCTTCAGAATGCCAGAAAGAAGTCCACCAACAACTGTCTCTATCATCTTCGTCACCTTATTAACCCTAGAAGAATCACCCACATAATCAAAATGCAAATATTCACAGAAGAATCTTGGAAAACATGGAAGAAAATAGTTTCAACATGAACTTCAAAACCTGTGTATAGCCTTTAGAAGTTCAAGATTAAGTGTTGTGTTGCTAGCAGGTCCGATCTTTAGCTTTAAAATCTCATTACCCTTGATCAATCTATCCACTGTAACATCTCCACACTAGAGAATCACTTTAACAAGTTTCCCTGAACCCGTTTTGCAGCCTTCATACTGTAATCCTCCACATTTGGGGCTAATGTCTTCCAATAAGCTCTACAAATCTGCTCCATCTGTTCCTTATTTGCTTCCATTTTCATATCTGAGGGACTCATTCGTTCCGCCATTGTTAAATCCAAAGCGCCCTTCTTCTCATCCTCTTTCTGCACCAAGAAACTACTGCAATGCTCCAATAACTCATCCATTTCTCTCAACAACTTCTCTTGTCCTTTTGAAGCAAATGTCAGTCCGTAATTTAACATCATAGCTTCGTGTTCTTTCTCCTTCGGAGCGCGTAACGACAAGAAATATTGAGACTGGTCTAACTTAACGCAAGCCTCATGTCTCGCCAAAGGCCATTGGATCTCTTCACCAACATGTGATATATAGCTCATTAAGAAATAGAATTAGGGTTCTTATATGGTATTATCAGACAGAGGAACCACCGCCACACATAAAAAAAACCTGTGCTTATTTCATGTATTCTTTATCTTCTTCAAAGGATGTTAGAGAGAGGAAGAAGATACGTGTGTGAGAACAAATTGGATGAGGAGAGAGAAGTGGTGGTGGGTCTGGGTTTCATCTTCAATTTGTGAAATGGTTCCATGTGTGATTCATCAGACGCAACAGTGTTAATGTTGATGTCACCAGATGCACTCCGAACTCTTAGAGCAGATGAGGTTCGATGCTGGTGGTGGTGGCTTAGGGCTTCCAAAGAGAAGGGAGAGAGAGCGCAGATCGAGGTACAGGAAGATGGGCTTAGGGTTTTTGGTAGAGGATTTTAGAAGGAGATGCATCAGGCGGGGTGTTTATCTTTTTGGGATTTCATTTCCCCCATTCTACGTTTAAGAACGCGCTTTCCTAAAAAAAATATAAAGCGACATCTTTAGACGACGCATTTTTTATAAGAGGTGCCCTATGTGTTTTTTTGTTGGACACAAATTTCAGGCACGCAAAAATGCGTGTCCACTATCCTTCAAATTTTAGAAAACTAATAGTATTTTTAGGATGCCCAAAAAATGCGTATCGTAAATTAGTGTGTGTCGTTATTTGCGCGTCGTAAAAGGATGTTTTTCTAGTAGTGTAGATTCTTTGAGATTCGTTGAACTTTTCAATGGCATGTTTCATTCTCGAGTGTGCCCTCCAAGTTTTGTGATTAGGATACCGAGGATCACAAAACGAGGTATGAGGTAACCATGCAAATCACTTGGTACCCTTAAAGTTTATCACTCAATCGATGTGCTAGTAAACCACACATGCTCCACTGATACTATGATAAACCTTAAGTCACCCTTTACCTACCTTGTTAAGTCCAAGTTAGTGTGCCGGTTAACCACACACGCTCCACCAACAACTTCAACAAAGTGTAAAGTGTAATTTCATGGATTAGCACCTTATTCACATTTTACCTAAAGTAACTAAGATTGGGAATTTAATAAAACATTTAGTTACTTTATAATATTCATCATACTTTTAATGAGAATTTGTAAGTCCTTGTCCTACCTGTTCAGCTAATGACCCTCCACCGATCAAGGAAGCGGTGGGTGAGAGTGGACACCCATTAAGTTGCCTTTTTATAGGCAACAACCTTATACCCCCCTTATAGACCGGCTTCGTGAATGAGGCGTACTAGCGGTAAGACGACTTGATCTTATATATATATATATATATATATATATATATATATATATATATATATATATATATATATATACATATATATATATATATATTATTTAAATTATAATATTATAAAGTATAAGGGTTGAATTTTAACTTTTAAGATTCTAAGGGTTGGAACTAAAGTTTTAATCAAGATTTTACTTGTTCCAAAACTTGAGGGCAAGTTTTGTAAACTTTCAAAACTTTTCATTTCTTATAACTTATGAATATAATTGAGTAATAAAAATGAAGACTCTTCATTTTAATAACTTTGGTGTTCTTTTAATGACTTTAATAAAAGTGTGACTTTTGGTTTTCCATAACTTGAGGACAAGTTATGGACTCCATTAAAACACTTTATGATCATGAATTAAACTACCATGAAGGTTACAAACAATTTCTATGATCATCTAATCTTCATAAGTTCAAGAACATGAATATGAACATTTCAAGAATCAAAATTACACTTGAAAAACTTGTAATTTTGATAATTGCCATTATAAATGGATTAGCATAAACATTACACCATCTAAAACAAGTTTTCAAGTACCAAAACAGTTTAGGGTAATGTCTCTAGTCCATTTCCAGCAACAAAAGTCGAATTTCTGAAAACTGCAGCCTCTACTCGTCGAGTGCAAGAACAAACTCGACGAGTAGCTTGCATTTGTTCATGGACTCGTCGAGTCCCCCCATGGACTCGACGACTCGATGAGTTCATACGAGCAGAAAACAGAAAAAAGATTTTTTTTTCCAACAGTTTGCACAAAAAATCAACAAATAAGCCTAGGATCTGATACCACTGATGGGTTTTGAGCATTCTAACACTTCCTAAGTGTACATGCAACCCTAATAAACTTGGATCTATGTTTGTTTAATAATCATGCAAAGTTGAATTCCAAGGTTATATTCCTATCTAGCATACATGGGGAACAATTTTTAATTTGAATGAAAGATAGAATAACATTCCTTGTTGTTGCTTATGATCCTTGAAACCTTGTGAGCCTAGCACCCCAAGTGTGATTCCTCAAATGCTTCACACAACACCAAATGCTTTTGGAATGACTTTAGAGAGAATACACACTTCTAAAATCAGCCTAGCCCTCTTGTTTCTTATGTGTAGCCGATTTTGGTGGAGAATATGTTCTTTATATAGTGTTGACACATCTAGGGTTACACCATGTAAACCCTAATGTGCCATGACTCTTCATTTCCATGACCCATGGGTTTGTAAATCCCATGGAGCATCCTATGGGTGGAACCCAACTTGATAATCCATGGAGCCTCTTAGCCCACTATACAAGTTATGGATGATTTACATAATCAACCTATATACTTAATTAGTTATCTTTTGATCACTTAATTAATTCTAAATTAATTCTTGATCAAACTAATAAAATAATACTATTAATATATTAGAACTTATAATATATTAATAAACCACAAGTGTTATTTCTCTCATTTAGTCTATCCAATTGCATGGTGCCATGCAACCCAAATGCACCATGTCGGGTCGGGTCAAGTACATACGAGAAATAGTTATGAACTTAGACACCTTATCCAACAGTAAAACCATACTTGTAAAGTTTCCACCTCTCAAAATGCCCTAGAAGTCAATTTGTCAACCCTTGGTCAAAGTGAAAGTCAACAGTCAAGATCAACAGTCCATGTTGACCTCAACACGTCGAGTACAACCAGCCACTTGCTGAATGCCTTGCATAAATCGTTAATTCACTGAATCACTTAAGTGACTCGTCGAGTTCCTATCATTTACGGTCATAAACTCCTTAGCTAACTTGTCGAATTTCTCCGCAACCTGCGAGTTCATGCGTGACCAAAGGTTGGGAAAACCCCAGTTGACTTACCGAGCCACCGTATTGACTCGCCGAGTCCACGACAATCTTCATTTGACTCACCGAGTTAACCAAGCAACTCGTCGAGTCCCTTCAGTCCTTAATCCATGCAGATGCTTTTTAAGTCGTTTTAAGGTTCCATAATGTAGATCCAGCTTCCCAATGTATGTTTATCTCATAACGTTTCAAACTTTACTTGTAAGCAAGGCTCTAAAGGCTTATAATGACAAATCCAAGCTTGAAATGGTGTTTTACACATAAAGGGAGGTTTATTCATGCAAAATTCTAGAAGCTTTTGGATCCATGGATTCCATAGAGTTCAGATCTGAAGTTGCAACCTCAGATCTTAGCTCATACACAAGGAAAGCTTCCTAATATGCTAGAAAAACACTAACTTCACCCAATGAGATCTAGAAGGAGAAAGAGGTCAAGATAACGACTTGATACCTTCACCTGATGCCAACTATGGTAGATTCTGATCGCCACTTGTTATTTGCTTCTAACCTCTTGATCTCCAAGTTCTTCTCACCAAAAATCCTCTTCTAAAGCTTACCACACACAAATAGAGAACACACATGAATAAGGGTTTACTGAGATCTCAAGGGACTGCAAGGAGGCCAAAGGAGGCTTCTGATCCCTTAAATAGGGTGCAAAACCCTGGAAATTAGGGTTTCATCCACCAACTCCTACTCGTCAAGTCCATTCTTGGACTCGGCAAGTAGGTCACTTAAACACATGGACCAACCCGCTGCTACTCTGCGAGTTAAAGCAATCAACTCGTCGAGTAAACCTCGAAATCATGAAAATTTATAACAATAATTCAACACTTGAGAATCAGGGCATTACAATTCTCCCCTACTTGAGCTAGACTTTGTACTCAAAGTCTTTCGCGGTGAACAACTCCGAATAGTGCTCCCGCATCTCTGTCTCCGGCTCCCACGTTCACTTGGAGCCTCTTCAGTGATCCCACTGTACCTTTACCAAAGGTATCACCTTGTTCCATAGAATCTTCACCTTTTTCTCTAGAATGGCCACGGGCCTCTCAACATATTTTAGGCGCTCATCAACCTGAATGTCATCTAATGGTACCACCGCCTCCTGATCCATAATGCACTTTCGCAATTGCGAAACGTGAAAGGTGTTGTAGATCCGATTGAGCTCATGTAGTAACTCTAACCTCTATGCCACCTTGCCGACCATGGAAACAATCCTTAATGGCCCAATGATTCGTTGACCCAATTTCCCCCTTTTCCTGAAGTGGATGACATCCTTCCAGGGCGAGACCTTGAGGAGTACCATGTCACCAACCTGGAACTCTAACTCAGATTGGCGTCTATCAGCGTAACTCTTCTGCTGACTTTGAGTTGTCTGCAATCGCAGCCTGATCTGCTGAATCTTCTTGGTAGTCTGCAAGACTACCTCTGTCCGTTCCATGACCCTGTGTCCAACCTCACCCCAACAAACCGGGGTGCGACATCTCCGCCCATACAACAGCTCGAAAGGCGGGGCGCCAATGTTGGAATGGTAGTTGTTATTGGAGGAGAACTCCTCAACGGGTAGGTGCGAATCCCAGCTCCCATTGAAATCAATGACACGGACCCTCAACATATCCACGAGGGTCTGAATGGTCCGCTCACTCTGATCATCGGTCTACGGATAAAATGTTATGTTAAAGTGTGACCGCGTGCCTAATTCCTTGTGGAACTTCTGCCAAAAACGAGAAGTAAATCTAACATCTCGGTCGGAAACAATGGAGACCGGAACCCCATGGCGAGCGACGATCTCGCGCACATACACATAGGCCAACTTCTCAGCCGAAGAACTTTCCAATATAGCCAAGAAATGGGAACTCTTGGTCAATCAATCCACGATGACCCATATAG